ACGAACTTCTTCAGCAATACGGCCCTGCGTTGTGTTTGCGTCTGTTAGTGCCCTAACTGCAAATGCGTATTTGATGATAGGTTGAGCTGAGGTATGTCTACATGAGCATTGCGTGGAGCAGCCTCTTGCGATCTGGCACATTGGCATAGCCTGCAATTGATCGCTGAAGGCTCTGTCCGCCAAGTCGCCGTGTTGAAGGTTGGAATAACAGGTCTGTGAGGGGAGGGCAGGGCAGAGGGGAGGAAGCGTGTGGAGCAGGATATGACGGGGAGAGCGAAGGAAATGGGGAACAGAACACGCAGAAAGAAACACCCGGAGGTGTACATGAATATAGCGTTGCATTGCAGGTAAAAAACCTAGGAGAGAAAAGCTAGGAGAGGATTTTTCATTCCAAGGTATTGAAGGGGCGCGCGCTGTGGGTCAATGGAAGGATTACCCCACCCCCCCGTTCCTCCTCCCCTAACCCAACACCTCCCTCCATCCCCCCTGCCCCCCCCCCCCACACACATTTTCTTCACCCACACCCCCCCCACCCACCTGCATTAGGAATCCCCCATCCCCCATCTTGCGGTACGCGACCGCCACAGAGCTCCCGTTCAGCTGCACCGCCGCACGACCCGGGCCCCGGCGGACCAGAGTCACGCCGTACTTGAACCCCTCAATAACCTGGAGGGTGACAGTCGGGGGGAAGGGGGTTCGACGGGGGGAATAAGTTAGGCAGGTCGGGGGGAAGGCGGAAATCAAAACCCAGCATCATCTCCACGTTACGTTATCCCCCCTCCCCCAACAGAGCACACACATACATACATACATACACCCCAGGCCTCACCATGGTGTGCTCCATGTGTGTGAGGCTGATGCCCGGGGGCGGTAGCTGACCCTTGGCCAGGTAGCCCAGGTACTCGGAGCTGGCGGAGGCTACTGCTGCCGAGGACTTGACAACCGCTCCTGGGCGGGGGAGTAGGGATTCGGGGGTTGGGGCGAGGGGTTGGGGCGAGCGGTTAGCTGAGGTTCACATCATTCTGACGTCATCCTGACGTCATCCAAAACCCAGCCCACCCCTTCACATCCCCAACGAACCTCACACGCAACCCCGAAACCCAAAACCAAAACCGCCTTCCCCACCCACTCCCCCTTTTCTCTCCACACGCACACACTCACACACACACACGCACTCTCTCAGACACACACCTCCACACAGGCACACACAGACACACGCCTTACCCCTCACCCCTCACCCCCCACCCCACCCCCACACACCCGCAATCACGGCGATGTGCCACGGCGGGCGCCCCGGCTTCACTCTCGCGGCAATGCGGGAGTCCAGCCAGCCGGTGTGTATGAGGTTGTTGGTGAGCTCGGGCGACGCGATCAGGTCCAGCACGTAGTCCGTGGTGTTGCGGATCTCCCCCCGCACCACCACTCCGTCACGCAGGGAGGCCGACATGGCGCGGAGGGCCGCCTCGCGGGTGTCACCCCTGGCGAATAAGTGACCGAACTGCGGGGGTGAAGGGGGGGTGGAGGGGGAGAAGGGAGGAGGGGGAGGGTGGGATTAGTCAATGCAAAAGTCAAGGAAAGTCAGGCCAGGGGGATTATACTCTGGGGTTACACAATGCATATACATACATACATACGTGCATGTGCAGGTAACCAACTGCTGTGATGTCCAAAGCCGCGAAGTGCTACTGTTACTGCAGCCCAATATCAGCTTCAGCTACTTCAGGGCCACCCCGGGGCGATTGGTGGGGCGAGTGGTGGGGCGAGTGGTGGGGCGAGTGGTGGGGCGAGTGGTGGGGCGAGTGGTGGGGCGAGTGGTGGGGCGAGTGGTGGGGCGAGTGGTGGGGCGAGTGGTGGGGCGAGTGGTGGGGCGAGTGGTGGGGCGAGTGGTGGGGCGAGTGGTGGGGCGAGTGGTGGGGCGAGTGGTGGGGCGAGTGGTGGGGCGAGTGGTGGGGCGAGTGGTGGGGCGAGTGGTGGGGCGAGTGGTGGGGCGAGTGGTGGGGCCTCTCCCTCCTTGCCTGCGAGTCGCTGTACTGGTGGATACCCCCGCCACTCTTTACAGAGAAGTAACCCCACACATCGGGGGTGGGACGGAAGTGCAGCTCGTCAATACGGCCCGCAGTGGGCTTAAACCCGTCCGCGGCGTCCTCTGCCGTAATTCGTACGGCAACCACGTGTCCGTCCGGCGGGCGCTGCGGGCTTGTCTCCGGGTCAAACGGCTCCGAAGACTTTGGGTCCTTGCCGTACAGTGACCGAATGTACGGAATGCGTGTCAACGGCACCCCCATGCCGATGAGCAGCTGGCACGCGGGCAAGTTGACTCCAGTGATGCCCTCCGTCACGGGATGCTCCACCTGGGGCCGGAGGGGGAAAGGGGGGGAAAAGACGAACCACACGAGCGAGTGAAGCTGCTGCCAAGTGGGGAAAAGAGTGCTGCGGCGGATGTACAGGACGGTAGCAGAACTGACCAGTCGGCGGTGGGGAGCCGAGGGGGGGAGAGGGAGTGTGTAAAGTATGTATGTATGAGCAGTATAGCACGGCAGCGACATTTCACCACAGGCCGATGCACACGAGGGAGAGGAGGAGAAAGGATGGAGGTCCGCAATGCCGGACGCTGATAATTTTTTAGAGACGAAGGGAAGACACATGCGATATACACTCCTGCCTGCCTGCATGTGATAGGCATGGCGTGACTGCATGTGACTAAACAACGCAACAACGCAACAATGCGACAACGGGGTGCAAGGCACCACATGCATGGAAAGGAGTGAACCACCGCCGTTCTACGTCCGAAGCGATGTGAAGTCACAGACCCGGGGATGGGAGGTTGTACATGAGCCCACCTGCAGCCGCGGGTTCAGCTCCAGGAAGTAGTACTTTTGCTCGTCAATGCAGTACAAGTACTCCACTGTTGCGGCGCCAACGTAGCCCACCAGGCGGGCCAGGGCTCGAGCGCACCGTTCCATGTCCCGAAGAATGTGCTGTGTACGGATAGGTATGTGTTCGTGTGTGTATGGGCGTGTTGATGTGTGTGTGGGGCGGTGGGGGGGTGGGGGGGGAAAGAGGGGGAGGAGAGGGGAGAAAGGGTTGGGAGGAAAGGATTGGGACCTGGCCAAGCAACACAGCAATCACATGAAGAACGCAGACAGGCACACAAACAGATAAACACGGACGGACGGACAGACAGACAGACAGACAGACAGACAGACACACACAGGCGCCCGAGAGTGTATACACGCTGCCCCACCTCCGGCGCGGCAGTGACAGGACCTTCCTCCACAATCTTCTGATGGCGCCGCTGTACGGAACAGTCACGGCCGAACAAGCTGACCACATTTCCCTGCGTACGGAAAAAGAACGCTGTACCATTCCGTACGTATTGTTGTGCGCGAAGAAACACCTGACACCCCCTAAAACCCCAACCCCCTCTTTCCCCTCCATACACACAAGGTAAACTATTCGCTCCAGTATCAAAGCGACACCGGGCGCTCCCCCCCTCCATAGCCAACAAAGAGATCATACCCCCCCTATATGTCCCCTCCCGATATCGCTCCCCCCATAACCCGGCCCCATAACCCGGCCCCATAACCCGGCCCCATAACCCGGCCCCATAACCCCCCCGGTCTCACGTGCATGTCACACAGCAGCTGGACCTCCAAGTGCCTGCTGGCGGGTGCGAGCTTCATTGCGAATATGGGGGAGCCGGGCACCTCCCCCGCGACCTGCTTGAACACGGAGCGAACCTCCTCGTCCGAGGACACCTGGGGCGAGGGGGGGGGTAAGGGGGCGGGGTGGAGGGGAGAGAGTTTATCTATATGGGCGCAAAATACGAACACGTACCCTCAGTTCCACTGACGCTCAGTTCCAAACGGACGTTGGAGGGGGGGAGGGGGCCTGATGCTTCGCGGCACGGGGTGCTCGTAACCCACCACCACCACAAATACATTACATAGATATACATACATCCGCACATAACACGTACACACATCAGCACACGTATACACATGTGCAATACACACCTTTCATCCCCCCCATCTCCCAACCACACACACACAAACACACACACAGCCCCAGGCTTCTTACACCATCCTCCCCCCCAGCGCCGACTGGTTAGATATGCGTCCTTTACTACACTCCTTTGCCTCACAACACTCTTTCCTTGGCATCCACGTACCTCGCCCGTGGTTCACCTTTCCCGCCTTCCAAGCCCCCTCCACCCCCTCCCACCCACCCAACCCCCCTCACCTTGCGAATTCCCTTTCCACCTCCTCCCCACGAGGCCTTCAGCATCACCGGGTACCCCACCTCCCTACACGCCGCCACAGCCGCCTCCAGGTCCTCCACGGGGAGGCAGGCGGCCGAGTAGACCGCGGGGGGGATGATTCCGCCGCTGCACTCCGACACGGACACGGTGACGTGGCTGCCGCTCCAGGGGAGGGTGGGCACACCGGCTGCCTGAGCCAACAACGTGGATCCGATCTGTGACGTGTGTGTATGTGTGTATGTGCAGGGCGGGAGGGGGAGGAGGGAGGGGGCAGGGGGGCAGGGGGGAGGAGGAGGAGGGAGGGGGAAAGGGGAGGGTTAGGAGGTATTGTCCGGAACGCGGTTTGTTCTCTCCCGGGGAAATGGGATACCCGGGGGAGCAGACAGCAATCATCATCATGCGAGGGAACAATGACCAATGTCTGTGTAAGTGTGCATGTGCATGTGCATGTGCGTGTGCGTGCGTGTGTATGTGTATGCGTGTATGCGAGAATGCGCAGGGGATCCCTGGAATTGGGGGGGTTGCGATGATGGTGATGGTGGTGTATGGTGTACTGATACTGCCGCAACAACATATGGGGGGAAAGTCTGGAAGCCGCCGCAACATAACCGGGCGGAGGATGCCTACGTCAGGTCCGGGACCCCCACCACCCCACCATCCCCACCCCCCCACACACCCCTCACCCCGACCCCCCCACCACCACCTCAAAACACAACACCCCCGGACATCACAGGATATCATTCCCCCTTGTCATAGCTCACTTCCCCATCCACACACTCCCCCTTCCCACTTCCGACACCATACACACACATACACACACACACATATACACACACGCATCACCTTATCCCCCAGAGCCGCCATGGGTCCCGGGGGGGGCCCCAGGAACCGAATATCGTGAGCCGTCAGGGCGGCGGGCAGCTCCGGGTTCTCCGACGCGTGACCCCTGCGTGTGTGTATAACCCGAAGGGGGGGAAGCGAGGGCACGCCCCGTGTGTGTGTATGTGTGTGTGTGTACAACGAACTGAGCCAGGCGCATGCGCACGCATGTATGTGTGTATGTATCTATGTATCTGCTATGCTTTGCTGCCAGGCGTTGCACCCACCATCCTGGCCACACGGCATCTACTCCGGCCCGCAATGCGATCTGCACGATGAGCTCCACGTTGGCGTAGTTGTTATTGTTGGTGCCCCCGGGAACCTGGGGGAAAGTGTGTATGTGTGTGCGTATGTATGTGCGTATGTATGTGCGTATGTATGTGCGTATGTATGTGCGTGGGAGGAGGGGGAAAAGAGGTAGCGGGTGCGCGGGGTGAAAAAAGGTGGTAAGACGAACCATTGGCGAGTGAAGCAGAAATAAAGGGGAGGAGAGAGAGAGGAAACAGGCGTTGGGTAGCTTTTAATTGAGTGGCCGTGAACATAAAGGGAAGGACGGGCAAAACTGAAAAAACAGATGAGTGGACATACATACATACATACATACATACGGACGTACGAGCAGTGGGAACGTAGAGCGGGCGTAGACAGAAGGGAGCGGGTGGGGGAAAGGTCGGGAGTGGGGCCAGCGGCGGGCAGTTTTGCAGAGTGCTAACCCACCCACCCCCTTCCCCTCTCCCTCCCCC